GGCAACAAAGTCAAGCATATTGATTTGTGAGATGTGATTGTAAGTGGTTCAGTTTTCAAATACATGTAATAAATATATAATGATTGTTGCCTTCTACTAGCTTAATACCTAGTCCTACAGCATCAATTTGAGCACTTAAAAAAACTACTGACTTTGAAGAGTTTAATTCACATATATCACAATGCTCATCAAAGTAACGAGAGGCTAATAACAAAAACCTCAATCTATCCATGCACAAGAATGTTTTGTAAACTTAATATAAATGAAATATTTTAGATTGGCATTAACATGATAGGATACATAATAACATGAGAGAGAACACAAACCTTAGCCCATTATTTTATTGCTAGTAGATTCTCATCCAGCCATTTCCTGAGAGAAGCTGGGGTGGTAGTTTCCACATAATGGCTGCATGACTTGTTTAAAACTTCTTCAACACTTGGTGTAAAGAAATGCCTCATTAATTGGTTTTAACTCCACTTTTCATTAATTTTCTTTTTCATGTTTCATTCTTCATTTTCAAGAATTCTATTGGGTTGACTTTAATCATTTTAACTCTGAGGGCTTTGATTACTTTGGAGTCAAGTATTTTTTCACAAGACTAAAAAGATTATTTTGTGGCCTCTATTTAGCTTGTGTAACACATCCCTTCAAGCCTAGGAGTGTATCTGATTATTATATTATGGACAAACTAGCAATTAATTTTTTTTTTGTAAAGTGGTGATCAAAATCACACACTATTCTACTGTAAATCAAATACACCACAAAATTCAATTACTCTTTTTTTAATAACTATGATCTAAAATTGTTGTATGCTTTAATACTAAATAAAAAGAATACAAAAAAGCAGAACACATACTTTTCAAACAAACATATGTAAAAAGTAACTATATAATGATTTCTTTGCTCTTTTTCCAGGTGTACATTTAGGAGGGATTTGGTTCATTTAGTGCTAAAGTAACACCCCAAAATAATTTAAATATAATATTTTTTATACATTGCTGTTCGTGTTTGTCTCAAATGTGCAAATTATCTGATTTGCCTTACTGAAATTCATTTTGGTCAGTTGATGTGGTCTTTAGAGGGTCCTGCATAAAACCCCATTAAAAATTGCAAATGTCAGATTTCTACAACTATAACAAATATAATTGATAGTTGCTGTGCTTCAAGACTCCCTACTTCAGAAATTGCAACTCCTCAGAATAGCATGATTATAGCCATATCAGTTGAGTTAGCATTGAATGGTTCAGTGATTTAGAGAATTACATTTTATTTACAGTGCACTTTTCACTAATTTCTGGAGGGGGCAAACGTATCTCGGTGCAGTGGAGTCTCTTAATTTAATGTTTGTCCGAAAAAGATTTATTGATCCCTTTATTGAGACCTTATTAGCATGCCAAAGCTTTTTGTGGCAATTAACTGTTCAGCTGCTGCTGGGTTTGTGTTATTTGGTAAAAACCAAATATGTCATTGTTTTCACAAATGCCTTAGCGTATTTCCTTGAAATAAACCACTTTAAATGAGAAAATGATTTTCCTGAATTCACAGTTAATGAGATATTGATCGGGCCATGACGACTTGCTATGAACTGCAGAATTAAAAGGATATGAGCCTTCATTAGAATTACTAAACTCCAAAGGAGTATGTGGAAAATGTTGTGCCCATGGTGATAAACCAGATAAGTATATTTATATGGTTGAACTCTATTGATGTTAAACTGTCCTGTACATTTTATCTGTGAAGAAGCACAGGTATTTTGGAGGAGCAGACCTTATACTGTGTAATGGGTGTAGAATACCTATTTTACAGTATGAGCCATCATTATACTGCAGCCTTTACTAACCTGTCTACCTTGTCAGTAGAGTATTAACTGCAGTTGTTTTTTAAACATTCTCAAAGGGGATCACCACTTTTATAAACTCTGGATCACCAAACATCCATGTACTGTATGTTTTACTCTTTCCCCTGTTTCTTTCTCATTCTATTTTGTCAGCAACAAAGAAGTCTAGATTTTTTGCTTGTAACCTTAAAGCAGAAAGAGAAGTAGTAGTCATGGTATTTTTCTGTCATGCAATGCACAGATTACCGGTGTGGTCCAGAGTTCTATGTGAATTTAACTTTACCCTCAACTCTCTTTTTTAAGGACAGCATTAGAACCACAGCTCATGCACAGGTTTCCCATGATAAAAAAAGAGAATTGGTAAGAAATTATTTAGACATAAAACATTTTATACAGAGAGATTGATTTTGATGTTATTCGTGGTCATGGTCTGCTTTTAGATTTTAGAGCTCACATCCTCATTTTGAACTTTTCCTTAGCTCCTGGCAAATGAAATGGTTAACAGTGTGATACAACATGGTACCAACTATATACTTGTAAGTTAGAATATGAAAGCATTAAAACATATAAGGGATGTGATGTAGATTCTCCACCTTTTTTTTTCTCTGTGTGGCTCAACTGCAAAATTTTCTGCCACACAGCCCTTTTTAAAGTTCTTTAAGATCTTGCAGAGCGACCCAGATGTATGAAAGACCTTGACGACTGTGGCTTTCCTATTCTGTCCTTGTGCTACCTTTTTTCTTTATTTTCCTTTTCCTTTTGATTATCTCTTTCACATCTCTGTTTTTCTTTTTTCTACTCCTTTAATCCTGTTTTATATTATTGTAGGATTTACAAAGTTTGTTTAGGTACCAAGCCTGTTATACCATGATGATTGTTCAAATTTGTTCATTACTGTTCTTGAAAAAATAATAAATAAATTGAACATAGAGAACATAGAGAGATGAAAGTTGAGGCACATGTACTGGGAATTTTGCCAATAGGAAAAAGTGTGAAGTTCCTAGGACATTTAAAGTCCATCTGTTCACCTTTACAAGGGTCAAACAGTGCTATTAATTTAGAAGAAATATCTGTCTGATCCAGATGATCTCATGTAACTACTTAAGACCACCTCAGGAATCATTTTCAGACATCAACTGTTTTTTGAGATATCTGGGTGTTGTGGAAGGCCCGTTGACTTGCAATGAGTTACCTACAGTATACCCACGGAAGACACCCCGATATTATTAAGTTGTGACTCAGTCTCACCTAGTGGAACATATGCAGTGTATATGTTAATGTGGACATCAACCCCTGGATGGTGGAAATGATTAGTCTTTTTTGTAAGATAGAACAGAGCTTTGTGTAGAGGAACAATATTACTTTGGTGGCAATGGTGTAATGGTGTGGTTCCTTTGAGAGCTTGTCATTCATCATAATTGTATTGTACTGATTGTATTTTGAGACCCGTGGTTCTTTAATATTAGCTTCAGTGTAATATCTCTAAATATCAAAATGCTTGTGCTCATATTGGAAGGTCACTCACAACTTCTGTTCAGCATAAGGTCACTTATCTGCTAAATTTAAAAAAAGAGGGAATTTCAAGACAAATGAATACTACCTAAAGAATTCTAGATAATCAGACCACTTGTAAATTTGTAAATTGTTTTTTTAAAAGATGCAAAGATGTAAAGATGCAAAGAAAATATTATTTGTGAAACAATCCAAAAAACAAAAATAACAAATGGGTTGGAAGGGGCTACTTCTGAAAAACACAGTTTAGGTTGACACATAACTTCTAACAATGTGAGCAAGCTATAAAATAGGCAAATAATAGGAGCCAGTTTTGAATTAAAAGTGTAAAATTTAAATCTAGGGTTGTTAAGTTAAAATTGTACAATGCACTAGTAAGATCTCATTTAGAATACTGTGTAAAGTTTTGGTGAAAACAGGCAACACAGAGAGCCTGTAGGACTATTTCGGACAATTCTAAAGGGAATTAAAAGGAGAATTCAAGGGCAGGACGGCCCAGGAGCAGAAGGCTCCCAAGGGCAGGACATTCTCGCAGCGCGCCTCCTGACCATCTTGAGACTCACCCCGGACCACCACGGAACGGCCAGGGTGTCCGAGTGCCAGAACTTTCCTTTGTTCTAAGAGTCAGGAGCGGAGGTTGCCAGAGAGTAACCAGAGGATCCACCTGAGGTTAGCATCAGTAGCAAACCTCGTGAACAGGTTGGAACTGTGGACAGCTGAATCACTATTCAGAACTAGCTCTTCGTCAGGAACGGAGTGAAAGAAAAGGACTATCACATATTACTCCTCCAAGTGTCACAAACTTTATCTAAAAGAGCCATTCCTCAATCACCTTAAGCTGTACAAATATTAAAAAATAGATATTGCTGTTCTGGAATCAGTCCAGAGAAGACACACCAGATATATTATGGGAATTAAGGAAATTTCCTATATTGACAGTCTGAAGCAACTGAGCCTTTTTAGTTTTGAGCAAAGGAGAATTTTAGAGGACCTGAATACAATTTTTCTGAATACTCAGACATTAAGAAAGTTAACAAAGTAGACTTCCTCAAAATAAACAATGAAACACAAAAACACTCATGGAAACTATGTAGAAGTGGTTTTGAGAACCAAAGGTTCTTCTGTACCAAAAGGGTTATTGGAATATGGAACATATGAACTGGCTTTAGTGAAGGAACGGCTATGTAGTCCTTAGACCAATTAGCCAATGAGTACAAAACAGGCTGTGACATATAAAAATAAAAAACAGCACTACAGCTGTGGACATTTCACACACCTGAAGAAAGCTTCACAGTTGAATCATTCTTGTTGTATTTGTAGGTTATGTTTTTATGATATATAATGTTTCCAGAGGGATGGTTTGTTCTGCTGTTTTATCTGTAAAAATATCCTATATCATGATCAACCAATATCATGGTGGGTGTTTTTTTAGCATAAATTTTCCTTCAGTTTTCCAAAGTTTTTCCACTCCTGTCACAGTGAATACTAGGCATAACCTCCTTTCTTATCTGATGTTAACACAGTTTTATTATGACAGGGGTTGCTTTATTTGCATTCTAACTTGAAAGATCACAGCTGTTTTATTGATTAAGCTTTTATAGTTAATAATGTTTTCTCTGTCTTTCTGATTATTTAATTCATTTTCCAGGAGACCCTGGTAGACTGGTGTGATGAAAAAGAGCTGAACCTCATCTTAACGACCGGGGGAACTGGATTTGCCCCGCGTGATGTGACTCCTGAGGTACAACTTTTTCTTTGGTGTCCATTTAAGGGCTGCTACTAAAAGGGTGAGCACTGATATTCACTCCTGGTCCTGGATAGTGATTGGTAGCAAACAATTGCTAACAATATCTGTTAACAATTTAGGGTTTTACTTGGCAAAGAAGACAAAACGACAAATACAACAAATACTTCATAACTTAAAAGTTTACACTGTACAGAAAAATGTGAAAAAGAAAAGATAATCTGTTTGGTATAGACCCCTTGTTATGTATTAAGGCTGTTCTTTGAAACATTCTCTATCTTTATCTTTCAATTGCTCCCACCAGTGGTACTTAATAAGGTGGTCGGACACCTGATTTGTGGTTGATAGTTCCACCTGGTTATGGTTTCTGGTTATGTCCAACATGTTTTGTAAAAAACATGCAGCTGAAATATGTAACAATTGTAAAGTTTGCCTTTAAACTGGAAGGTGTAGTTAGGTGTCATTATCCAATGATGTGACTTTTTTGGCATATTCAAGATGTGACTTCATGTGAGTTTTATTTTTATTGTGACCTAAAGAATAATTTCCATTCGCATCTGGCTTTTGCAACTTGCAAACACTTAAATCTTGAACTGTGGTAAAAAAATGGATGTAATGAGTGCTTAATTCTGATCCTAACTAACTGTTCTAGCTTTGTATAAAAGTTCTGAATTTTACAGCATTTTTATAATTATATTTAGCAACAGCTTCTAACTAAAAAAGATTGCAGTGATCACAATAAAACGTTTTGAAAATTTGTAGAAAACCAGGGATTTGTAGTCACCCAGACGATATTTGAATATTATTTAGTTCAATATCCCTTAACACTTTTGAAATTATTGTTGTGGTGTAAAATTAAATTATTTCTAAATTTGTAAATGTACAGTGGGTGTAAAAAGTAATGACCCCCCCCCCCCCCTTGGTCCTCTACCACATTTTGCTGGCTTACAACCTTAACTTGCAACAATCGAGAAAAACTGTTTTTTTGCATGATTAACACAACATACTCAACATTTTGATGAGGCATAATAATTGTTGTTGTAAAAGAAAATTTGTTGAAAAATGGAAAACTGAAAAATCTAGCTTGGAGAAGTATTCACCCTCTTAAGACCCTAAAGCATTTAATTTTTAGTTGCTCCAATTACAGCCTCAAGTCTTTTGTGGGATTTTCACATATTGTACAGTAGGTCATCAGTCTTCCTTGCAATATTGCTCCGGGTGTTGCAGGTTGTTAGTGAAGTGGTGATGTACCGCAATCTTCAGTTCTTGAAATAGATTAATTTGGGATTTAAATCTGGGTTTTGACTGGGCCACTCAGGACCTCCGCCTTTTTCTTTTTAAGCCACTCAAGCGCTGCTTTGGCTTTGTGTTTGAGGTCATTATCCCGTTGAAATATGAATCGTCATCCCAGCTTTTGCAGACTGTTCCAGGTTTTGCTCCAGGATCTACCTATATTTTGCTCCATCCACTTTGCCTTCTATTTTGACAAGGCTACCAGTCTCTGGAGATGAAAAGCAACCCCTCAATATTACTCTGCCACTGCCATGCTTTAATGTGGGGGATAGTATTTTGTGATAGTCCTTTTTTTTCACCAAACAACATTTGGCATTAAGGCCAAATAACTCAATTTTTTTCTCATCAGACCATATAGTTTTGGAAGCTCCTACATGCCTTTTTGTATATTTAAGACAAGACTACATGTGAGCTTTTTTCAAATGTTGCTTCCTTCTCTCCATTCCATCATGCAGGCCAGATTTGTGGAGTACTGGAACTATTTTTAACTCACTCACAGTTTCTTCCATCTCAATTATGAGACTTTGTCTTTGAGGATTGTTTTCAGCCTCCTAACTGCTTCTCTGACGATTGTTCTTCTTGCCTGGCTGCTGAGTTTTAGAGGCCAACCTAGTCGTTGATAATTCTGATTAATTTATCTGTCCTCCACTTCCTGGTAGATTGAACAGTGCTCAGTGGGATACCCAGAGACTTTGAAATCTTTTTATTATATCCTTTACTTCTCTTGTGTCAGTATGCACTCATTACTTGTTGCAGAAACTCCTTTGTCTTCATATTACTTTGTGTGCAATGTCCAAAAGTGGGAACATGCATAGACAGGTGTATTTAACCTTGCAAAATCAAGTGTGGTCAACCACTTTAATTGCACACGGGTGAATTCCAGTCAAAATATTTTGCAAATTCCGAATGCTACTGGTTAAGGAGAGCTTATTTAGGACAATAATGGTAAAGGGGTGAAACCTTTTACTACTACGTTTTTGGGGGTTTTATTTTTAGCTATTTTTTAGCCCCAGACTATTAAACACATTGATATTGTAGAGGATGTTGAATAGATCAAAAGAAAAAAATACAGATGCAACCATTCAAAATGCATGGTAAAACCCTGTAGTGCACAAAATCATCTGCAGTTTACCATGTTATACTGCAGTATGTGATTGGCTGGCCAAAATGACCGATAGGCGGCACTCGTGGTGCATTGGTAGTTAGTGAAATGATTGCTTCATTTAATCTCTTTACTGTGCATGTTTAAATCTGCTTAATATTGAATATTAATTTGGAATTTTTCAATTTAAGGGAAATTTTAGTAGCTAAGCATGAAAAGAAGAGGAGCATAATGTGTTTGAAGGTCATGAACAATATTAATTTAGGAATATAAACATATTATGTGAACTGTTTATGTCTGGTTTTGGTAGTTTAAATAAAAAAATACACACCAGTATTCCACTTTTTTCAGAAACATTTTAAGCATTCAGTTTTTCTTTCATTCAGTTACATACTATGGTTATTTGGGAAAAGTTTGTACATGCTCCCTGTGACTATATTAAGTTTATATACTTCATAAAAAGTGATAGTGTTTTTTAACCTTTTGATTACTTGCGCTCAAGGCATAATTTTTTAGAATTTGGTTAATAGGGAATATAATATGGAATCGCATATCTAAAGAAATTAATAACTATATAATTATATTCATATAGCTCAAATTATTACAGTAGTACACTTTCTTTGTAAACATCTGCATTAATCTGACTCATTCACTCGCGATTACTTGGAAACTTTTTGCCTGCCCTTTTCACCTTTAGCTTAAGTTGTCAAGTGGTGTGTTGGTGTCATGGCTTTGGCATGTGACTCGCATGCTGGAGGTAGGGGGTTCAAACCCAGCTCTCGCCATGAGTTTTCTTTTAACAAATAAACATTTCTTTGAAAAACTAAAATAGTAAATATTATCGACACTATATTGAGTTTGTTGGTATTTCTAAATATCACAATACGTTCAAAGTTAAGTGAGTTAAGTGATTAACCTTTTCTGTGAATACTTGCACTCGTTATTGCAGTAAAAGAAACCCATACTTTTTAGAATTTCATTAATAGGGAATATAATATGGAATCGCGAATCTAAAGAAATTAATAATGATATTAATTTAAGGATCTAAATATTTGTATTTATATAGCTGGTAGTACTTCTGTAATACACGTTCTTTGTTTTATTTTTTATTTGACTCATTCACGCATGATGAATTCTGAGAGAGTGATAGATGGAGGTTCTTGTCAAAACTACATTCCCCAGAATGCAGTGGAAAATAATGTGCCACCCTCAGTCACCTGACCAGCTGATGCACTGCATCGGAGAATGACTGAAGGATTAGCCAATTAAGAGCGAGTTTTTTAAACAACCTGAGGGGAAGGAAAAGTGCCTATGCTCATTTTTTTCACTTACAAAGTTGATTGAAACTCATTCAAAGTGGGTCTTTTTTATTTAATTTTTAAAAATAAATATAAGGCAACCAGCAGGCAAATATCCTGTTCTTTCTTTACACTTGTTTTTCCATATTGTAGTTTGAGTCTTTGTGTAAGTTCTTTTTACTTTTAAATTAAACATTTGAAACACTTTAATTTTGTAAAATCTACATGCATTCCATACAGAAATAGCACAAAATAGCGCACCGTCCACTAACTATCCACCACTGCCCAGTGATATAACTTTGATATAAACAAGATCTAGTACCTGTTGTAGTATTTTAAAAAATATTTTGAATTAATCGAATCCCAGGTGTGAGTTCATGAAGTTCATAAAGAATTTCGTACTATCCCTACGTCTGCGAAACACCTGATCATCTACTATAAAGCTGTCAGTGCTTTGTGTATATTCCAATCGCAGCATGGGCAGGGTGTGTGGGAAAAGGTTTAGGCTGCAATTGAATTGGGGATCTGTATTCTTCTTACCTGAAACATTTTTTCTCTAAAAGCATTTTCTTTCCTCTTTAGCTGATCTTTTGCTGCCTATGCATTCTTACACAGCTCCCTACGTAAAATCTCATTCTTGACTGAGAAAGCTTTGGAGAACTTTACATTTTTATTTTCAACAGATTGTAAATATGATTTTTACATTGGCGTTTTTATAATTTTTTTACTTAAGTGTATGGAAGAGTGTCAGCTGTCAAGGAGAGTTCCCCCCTTCCCCACATGGACTGACTGATGAAGCAATTTGAAGTGTTAACTATCCGGCTATTGCAAGCCACTGCAGCAGCCACAAATAAATAAAAAACGTTTTTTTTCTCCTGATGGTAACTGTAACAAATTGTCACGTTTCATATCCTTGAGAAACAATCAGGACATTTTCATCCAATCAAAGATTGATGTTTTTTTTATTTTGAAAGCATGATCTTGACATACAGGTGTGAAGTAGAGTTAACAGCTTCAGATTTAAAAGGTTATTAATAATATCTTCCGTGTCGCATTTACATTGGAATGTTCTTACAAGTGTAAAAAGAGGCGATATACAATATGTCTCTTCTATAACTCTTCAGTTTACAGAGAAATTCCACCAGAGCCACACAACATTGTCCAATAATACTCTTCTTGTGTCTAATTTCTAGTTTAGCAGGATTTGCACAATTGTTAAATGGGGATGACATTACGCACATATACAGATGCAGCCATTCAAAATGCACGGTACAAACCCGCGGTACGGTAAACTACCCACAAGC